TGAACATTAAGCCTCCCCCATGGTTGCCTAGCAACACCGACCGTATATACAATACGTATACAGATATATGGACCATTCCCAGCTACCCCCTCACCCACCACCACCCAAAAACCATCCCCACCGGAGTGCACCACGTTTCTCTCATCTGACAATTTTTTTTTTTCTATCTCTTCGTTTTTTTTTCTTTCGATTACAGCTTCAAGGGGGGGGGGGGATAGGGGTGAAAGGGGTGGAAGGGGTGGAAGGGGTGGTTGGGGTGGGGTTGTGTTTGTGTAAGCAGATTTTTAGGGGATATTTTTTTGGGGGGGTTCATTGTTGTTATCATTTATTAGTTATGGAAGGACTTTTGGTGAGCTCCGGGCTATGGCGGGTGGTGCAACCCGGTGGGGGGTGCGGGGGTGGAAATTTTATCGATGGGTTCACGGAGTCTCAATGTTATCTTCTTGAATTCTCCCGGCTTTCCTTTTGATAAACTTTTTTTTTTTATTTCCTCTTCAATTTTTTTCGCGGGGATTCAAAAATTTTTTAACTAAGATTTTTTTTTTGGAATATATTTGGATAAATTTTCTAGACTGGTATCATCATTGGCATCATTGGGGATTTTAATATTGAGGGAAAAATCGGTTTTGTAATGATTTATAAAAATGAGGCAGTTATTTTTACGTTTATTGGAAATGTTTGACTGAAATGGCGCCTATCGATAAATTTTTCAGGAGAATTACAAAATTTTTCGGGAGAAATATTGTAAATGTCCAAGGAAGCGAGACAATTCCATGAATTGATGCTTGATTGCGGGGGTCTGGACTTTTCACTTTATTAGTGATTAGTGAATCACTCGGGGATTCTTACAGAAAATATTCTTGGGGATCCTCTTCCATTTTTTATTCTCGTTACCTTTTGTTTGTTAGTCTAGCGCAATCGGGGGGATTTGTTATGCTGATGCCGAGAATGCATGAGTAATTGGGAGTTTCCCAACTTCATCTTCTTGCGAGGGAGATGAATTATTGATATTATTCATTCATGATGAATCTTACAAGAATTTCCGCTACTTTCGTTACTCAGTATTTCCCATCTCTCGGAAAATGTGGAAAAAATTCACAAGTCTTACGATTACTTCTATTATTCATTCTCCTACGATTTCAGGGTTGAGAAAACCAGTCTCGAAATTATTTCTAAAAATTCTTTTTATTTTTGGGTGTGAAATACGTCGGTGCCACGAAAGGGTTGGAATTGGGGATAAGGGTTGAGAAAAGAAAGAACCCTGATTGCATTTTTCATTCAATTTTTTTCCTCCACTTCCCACATTTTCCTTGGGATTTTCCGTTAATTTCTTTTTTGTCTCTCCTTCGCCGAAGTGCCTGGGGATTATCACATAGTGGGGGTAACCAATGGCAGGAGAGTTTGAGGGATTTATTCTCATGGTGAAATATATTTCGTAATGACACAATGGGGAAACGTGGATCGATGGGTTTTTCCAAAAATTCTCCTGTTAACTTTTCCGTTATATATTTGCTCGAGGGATTTTCTCTTCACGTGAGGATTGCCAGAGGATTTTCTGGCAGTGGAACATTATGACAATCTACATCCAGCATTTTCATCGTTATCACCACAATGGGTCTTTACCAATAATAATTAATCCGCTATTTTCAAACAAAAGGGGGAGAATAAATTTTCCATTTTCAATTTTCCATTAGTCTGCGATTTGGATTTCTATCTCAGTGAATTCAATCACTAGTTGATGAATAAAAAATCTGCATTTCCGATACATCAAAATGTTCAATAGTCTCGGACAACCCCTCCGTAATTTGCGTGACATATGGTGGTGAACAATGAAGCCAACGAATTTCGAATTTTCGATTCTCTGTGGATTGTTATTATTCTGGTGGATATTTGGGTACAGTTGCACGCAGGAATGCGTCAGCTGTCGATCCAAAAAATTCTGTACATCAACCCCCCCTACCCCCATCACCCCAATTTTCCAAAAAATATTCCAAAAATGTCAAACCTCATTTTCCCATTTTCCCATTTTCCCATTTTTTCGTTGCTACAAAAAAAAAGAGAATTAATTTATTCAACTAATTGAAACGATTTTAATTGGACTCTCAAATTGTTCGATGAGTTTCAAGGGTTGCGGGGTGGGTTTAAATACCAAGAGAGGGGATTTAAAATCTGTATTTCAGGGGATAAAGCTGGAATTTTGAATTATTGATGTGAAATATTTTAGCAGTGAGAGATGAAAAAATAATGAGGAGGAATAATCCGGGGGAGGGTTCAATGGAATTTTTTTTTATTCAAAAAATGTATTCGCGAGATAATGTATCAATGAATATTTATATTTCCATTTTCATCATGAGTGACGATTATTTTGTGAGACTCTTTTGTAGGGGTAGTTTTTTATTTACAGATTCTTCCCCCGTTCTATTTGCACTTACGACGGCGGTAATTTAACAATTGAATGTTAGAGCGAGAGAATGCATCTCGATTTTATTTTATCTAGACCATTTCGGGAGTCATGACCCAACGTTTACAAAGAAAATTAAATAAATTTCACAGCATCGTATAAAATTGATGAAAAAAAATCATTGATTTCTCACCCCTTCACCATTCATTTCCAAGATAGTTATCCGATTTAATTATTAAATCCGAAAGATATGACGTTAATTAAAATTCCAAAAATTCCACGCGACTAAAAAATCAAATATCATTCATTAAATATTATTTTTTCCATCATAATAATCCGTGAATGGATTATCAATGACAAAATAAATTGATGTTGATTTCCTCTCTCCCCACTCGAACAATAATTCCTAATTAAATATTTCGGACTAAACAATTAAAAATCAATAATTACAATAATTATTTACCGATTGTTGAAGTTCTAAAAAAAGTCCCAGTAAATTTTTTTGAGTAAAAAAAAATGTCAATTACTTGGAGATTTCTCAGTGAGAAAATAGTCGATAGGGTTCGCCACTCATCGGTCCACACAGCATCCGGAAATGATTTCAACCCTCGTTGATGGCGCTATCTTTAGGGGATGTGAAGAATTAAAACGCATCCCCTATTGTGATGAAATAAGTGGAGATGAATAGGAGAGCCACGAGGGCGCAGGGCAAACCGAGGCGATAAGTAGCTCGTATTAATTGAAATCCTTCAAATACTCAATTAAAAATTCTCCTAAAAACTCACCCCTCAACCCTATCCCCCCCTTTCCTCCCCCTCACCCATTGCCAAAGTGCTGGAAAAGTGTTGATTTAAAAATAAGCGACAAGCCTTAATCAAGGGGTTGAATCGCTTCGTCGAAGGGCTGGGAGGTGAAATAAAATGGCTGTGATTTTTCATCTCCAGGAGTCGTCCCCGCAACTGACTCCAAACAAGTGTCAAAATTAAATCAAATATCAGAAAAAAAAATTGGGCAATAACAAATTTGATGACTATTACATCCCTCGGGAGAATTAAGGGTAGAATAAAATATTCTGTGTTATCAAAGGAACTGGAAATACAATGAGGGTGATGTCCTGCGCGGTGATTGCCTCTTAGAGATTATAGGTGAGTCACTGAATCCATAATTTATTACTGAAAATAATTTATCTGAGGAAATAATTTTTTGTCGATTATTTCAGATAGAGTAGAATAGGAGGTGAGATAAATTTTGAGAAAATAATAAAATGAGGTCGTACGATGGGGAGAGCAGTTCGGGGGATGAAGAGGATAGGAGGGAGGGTGTTCCAGAGGTTCACATGAATCAGGGGCCTTGGCAAAGGTCATCACACCCAACATGGGCATGGGAACATCGAGGAGTGAGTTATTTTCTTTTTCATTTTTTTTTTCATTCGCATCAAAATTTTTTTTCTCATCGTTTTAAGAAATTCACGGAAATTCGAAAAAAGCAGAAAAATAGTTCTACAATTGTGAATATTCTTGAGTAATTGAATAAGGATTAGTAAGGGAATTGTTAAGTTAGGGAAAATGGAGTGGAATTGGTGGAAATAATAATGATTGAACTGCAGCCTCAATTGCCGGGTCAATCTAACGCGTCCCTGGAGTCAATGGCCTATTCGGCACCTCCGGCGTCTCATCCTGGAATTCCAGTGGCCCCTGGAGGCTACACAGGCACTGAGCATCCACAGAATCATGGCAGAAGGACTCCCCTGGGTGCTGTTGGTCTAGGAGGATTTTACTTTCAACAGCAACCACAGCCCCACACCTCCTCCAGTGCTCTCTCCTCGGATGAGAATCGTCCAGATCAAGAGAGGTATCTCAAAACTCCTTCATCCTTTATTCCAATAATTAAACATAAAAATATGAGCTCAGTCGGTCCTTTTCAGTCAGGGTGGGGCCACCAGGATTCGAAAATATATAATATATTCAGAAATTGTTAATTCAATTTGTATTGCAGACCAGCAGGATCGAGATTGAACTGCCCATCGAAATCGAAGAGCACTCGTCAAGGAAAAAGCGTTAGATTGAATATCAACGCAAGGGAACGTCGAAGAATGCATGATTTAAATGATGCTCTTGATGAATTGCGCTCTGTCATTCCTTATGCTCATAGTCCTTCAGTCAGAAAATTGTCAAAGATTGCAACACTTCTACTTGCAAAAAACTACATTCTCATGCAGGGTAATTCACTCAATATTCATTTAATTATTTTCGACTAAAAATTTTGTAGATAATTTCCGGGATTCGGGGGCTTAGCAGAGGGTTGATTTGTTTGTAAGGTTTTTATTTTTGTATATTCAAAGGAAATGCTCTGGATGAACTCAGAAGAGTCATCGCCGTTCTCCAATCACCACATGCACATGGAGCAGTGCTTCCACCAACTCCAGTCTCTTATGATCTACTCCAAGGATTCCCTGGAAAACTTTTTCAAGGCGTTCCTGAGCTTCAGGGCCTCCAGGGACTGTCTGCGATGAACAGTGCAGCTGTCACTGCTAGTGGACCTTCCACTGACATCACAGTAACTGGAGATCTCAGTGTCTCTGGTACTGAGTCCACTTGAACCTCGTGGAAAACATCACGAAAATCACCGAAGGATTTTTTTGATGACAAAACAAAGAAAGTTAATCACAGGAAAAATGAAAGTATTAAGTTTAAGTTTTAGAGAGTTGTCACACTCAGCTCAGAATTTACCAAAGAAAATTAACAGAAAAGTGCAGAGTAAGTATTTGGACATTCTAATGAGATATTTTACACATGAGATTTTTTCTTGTTACGAATACAATTTTCTACAAGAAAAAAAACAGCGAATATTTTATTTCATAAATTTTATTTGATAAATTTGTACACATTATTTTTTCGATGTACGGAATTATTTTAAAGCATTCTAAAAAAACGTTCTCTTATATTTTCCTCCGGAAATTTTTCCTGTTGAATATATTGGCAAAATATTGGTCTTCTCTGCTACTGAATCAAGAAATCACAAACGATAACTTCTCTGACTGCAAAAATATTTTTTCAAGTTGATAGTTCTTGAATTTTAGAATCAACGAACAAATGGTAGAATCTCTTCTATAACGAAGAGATAATATTTGATGATCTTTTAGATGAACGGAGGGTTATGACGAAAAAAATGATTCAAGAATTTTTCAAAAGCGAATGAAAAAGTTTTCGAATCCCGTCCGTAAACACGATAGTCAATATAGCATGTGATACATGTGAGAATAATTAATTCCTAGTCATGGGCGTCCATAAAAGTCGAGCATTGAAGTCATATATTTATTAATCTCAAGGTAAACTGATAAAAAAAACTTTGATTAATATTTTATTGAGATATAAGAAAAATAAAGCATAAATATATTTATGGTAATTGATATAAAAGCTCACAATGACAAAATCGTAACAAGTGCCAACGAGCATGTGAAAGTATCTGTCTACTTATTTAATAATAAATCATTTATTATTAATTAATCAATATGAAGTCATAACACGATGAAAGTAAAAATGACAAGACGAAATTATACAAATGGGAGTTTTAGATTTAACAATTGTATCGTGCGATTCCGTAGATTCTAATGAAACGAAACGTCAATATTAATATTAGGAAGACAAAAATAAATAATAATTAGTAATATTTATTGTAGTGTAGTTTTGAACGCTTAGTGCTCAAATAAAATATTGTAAGTAATTGAAAATCGAACAAGAGACTCAAAAATATTTGCATTTGCAATTGAATGTATTAAAAATAATTGTAATGCCAAAGAAAAAACTTTTGGAGAATCAACCTTTGAGGTTTATTTCTAAAAATACTTCAATTGAATTTCCACGCTCGTTTTGTCTTAGGAAGGCACAGTGCCACCTCAAAGAATCGCTATAAAAATACATGGAGAAGTCTTAAATTAAAAAAAGACACTGAGCGAAATCGTTCAGTCACCGACTTTGCAAGCATCAAGACATACAATAAATTTTTGAAGATTATCTCGATTTGAGAGAATTTAATATTCAATGAAAATAGAATATACATCAAACTGAGGCATCAATTTTTAAATATTTATCTGAAAGCGTTCTGGAATTTAGTCAGCGAATTGTCAAAAAAGTGGAGATGCATTCGGTGTAAAATTTGAATTAAACCCTTCAATTTTATTTTCATTCCCCTTTTATTTTCCGTCGGTGAAAATTTTTATCCCCATTAGCTCCCCAATCTTCTCGATTCCCTTCACTCTATCTCTACTACTCCATTACCGACATCCTCTGCCTCATGCCCTGCCTTATTCACTGGTACGTCCTCTGATTTAGTTCCATTAATCACCGCTAGGAAATTTCGCTGTTGTACCTCTACCATAAGCGCTGCTGATTTCTCCTATAATCCCTGCCAACAGTTGTCGTTTTATTTTCCCCTTGGAAAAACCGTGTAAACCTCTTGTACATGAGAATTTATCCCGCTAGTGTTGTTCGTGAATTGTTGGTGTGCGTTCCCCCCTCGGAGGTTATTCTTCAAGATGGCCAGGGTGCTGTCGCCCGCCGTGGTGCTCACGAGCATTACGGTTTAACGCGGTGCTGCCGAGTGTCTCCCAACCCACCATTAAAAACAAATTGAACAAAAAACATAAATAAATAAAGAGTGTAGCTTAAAAATAGTGATAACCTCATTGCTCCAAAACATGTGAGAAACTCCAAAACGGTGAGTACAAACCATCCAAGGGACTACATACCTGCGATAGCCTTCAATTTTCTATTTAACACATCTTCCCCCCCATTTTGCCCCTCATACCCCCAAATAACCCAATCGCAATTCCTCCTCCGCCTCAAATTCATTCGTTTCAGTGACAGATGACGTTAATGTCTATTTCTATCTCAAATTTTTTTTTTATCTCCCTCGCATTCATCCCACTTGTCTCCTCTCATTGTTTGCGTGAAATTCTTACGTATATATTCGGAGTAGATGCACTGGTGGTAGGTTACTGCGTTGGTGAGGCCTGATTGAGGCCTAGGTGAATGGTGGTGGTGGATTCGATGGTTGGAGAACGGTTTTCTGTACTCCAATGTTTCAACTGTAGTGGATATGGTTTTTTTAAAGTTTTTTTTTAATGGGTTAGAGAGTAGGGGAGAGCAAGGTTTGACCTAACTTCAACTGGCGACGGTTTTCAAGTCTTGAGGATTTAATAGGTCTTTTTTTATTTTGCCCCATACTGCAGGAGAAAAAATCGACGGAATTTAGTTTCCAAGGCGAGGGTTCACGTCTGTTTTCTTCAGGTTTAGGTATGTTTTGGAATTATTTTTTTTTTCTTCATTTTTCTTTTCCTTGTCGTAACTCAGGGGCGGCTGGGGGCTGCAAGGATTCGGTAAAGAGCAGGAGAGAATTTTTTTATCGGAATTTTCGTGAGTTTTTATGTGAAATGGCTATCAACATGGTAGAGTGGTTTCTTTGGGTCTGAAAATTCTTTCACCATCAATGGGTGGTGGAAACTCTGAGCATTCGTTTGAGCACAAACGGTTGCAGAAGTCTCTACTAAAATCCTGGGGCCTTTTCTATGCCAGAGGAAAAGCAGATAAATCGAATCCATGAGTTTACTGGGGAATTCGATAGTCGAGGGGAAAAATAGTTCGGGATTTTGGGAATAGTTTGAAGGCGAGGAGGGGCGAGGGTGATAAGACGTGTTATCAGGAAATTTAGAAGTTATCAACTGGAGACGAGGAATTATTCGCACTCCAATTGATTTTTTTTTTCTCAAAGTGGGAGAGGGGATTTGACACACCGTTGCATAATAAATTTTATAAGAGAGTCAATAGATTTTTAAAATAGAAATGATAGATCTTTTACTGGAATTCCAGCATTCTTCCGAATTACCGAAAATGTTTGGATAATTGTTCAGAAAAATTGTCACACGGTTAATAGACTTCGGAAGTCCTTCAATAATCATCAATAATTCAATAAGACATGGAAAATCGTGGAGTTCTGGTCAATAACACTAGATTGGTCGTCATATTATAAAAGGAATTTTAACTTAGAGTTCATAACTCATTATTGCGAAGAGAAACAGGCAAAATTTCCAGAATGAATTTTTGGAAGATCCTCGTTATTGATGTCGACATATTATTCCACATTAATCTTCGTTAATTTTTTATGGTCCATGTTTCCTAATGTTCCATCTGGAGAATTATTATTTCAAAAACAAATTTCATAAGAACTCGTGAAGAGAGAATGTTGTTTATTTCATTACGTCGGAGCTATTGCGACTCACTTCGCGAGACTATCAGGGAAAAATACTGAATTTTTTGTTGAAACCTGAAATAACTCGATTTGTGAAAAATGTGCAAGACTCAATCTTCGACAATCGGACAGATCGATTTATGTTCATACTATATAAAGATATGAAGTGTGCAGTGAATGTGTGACGAAAAATTTTTTCATTTCGTGTATTAAACAAGATTGTGATTTCATTTGTGAAAATTGTCGATATCATACGGCCAATTTTTCCGATTAATTATCCGGACGGATTGAGCATTTCGAATTTTGCCAAAAATTGAAATGACAATTTCCTTTGGAGATGGAATTTTCTCACAGCATCGAATAAAACTTGAAATATGGACAATCTTTTTTATTACACGACAAAAAAATATCTTACAGCAAAAAAATATTTCGACACTTTGCAACAATAAATTATGTGGAAAACTTTCCATGCACTTGTTAAATGATTGTTAGGGAATGAACATGAGCTTTGTGGCGACATATTTGGGATTAATTGTGTACGGATTTTTGGAGTAGCGGATGATTATTGGATCGAAACTAGGATATATCGAATTATATATATTTTTCGATTTTTTTCTTTTGATTACGCATTGAAGTGACAAGTTGTGCTGAGACCGAAGGCCGTATGATATACGACGGCAAAACGACAAACACATACGAGTCTTCCGTACTTTTATGACGTACGTCCAGTCTCTAGGTGGGGAAAATAAGCGACAATATCGTGGAAAATCCCTTGAAAAATGAGTGCAATAGTATCCACCAATGTGGGGGGAAAATAAATGTAATACATCGATAATTCGAAGGATCACGTAAGAAAGTAATAAAATGCCGCGTTAAAAAATCACTGCCTCGACCTCTCAAAAATTATTGCGCCAATGAGACTATTAGAAAAAAAAATTAAATTCCCGAACAGTCGCGGGAAGATAAATTTCCATAAACATTACGGGTAAATAATTCGGCAATTAAAAAATTACTAAACGTTCCGTGAAAAAAATGCACCTGGTGCGTTTTTTTAAGAAAAATTTCTGGAATTTTTATCGGAATTTCCCATTTTTGCGTTATAAAACTTTCACGTTATTTTTAGATGATTTTTTTTTCTCTGCAGCAATTTTCATGAGAGTAACATTGCACTTTAGAGGAGAAAATCATGAAATTTCAGGATCCACTGACAATTCTGTGAAATTCCAGAATTTTAAATGTCAGGATGAAGATTTTTTGATTGATTCAAATTAATTTCTTCCCTCTGAATCGCTTTCTGTATTTCTTTCATTAAAATTCAAAAATATATTTGAAGTCTGACGCATGTGTTAGCGGGGATAAATCGATAAAAAAAAAAGAGAAATTAAGAAATGGCTTTTCGTCTGCCCGAAAGCCTTATCGCAAAACTTATCGTTCAGGGTCAACGTCCGGAGGCTAATTCTATCCCCTGGACAGGCGCCCTTTGCACCTCCCCACTTTTTTTTATCACTCCGCAATCCAATGACCGGCAATGCGATTTGGGTCAAGGACACCGGATTAAGGGCGATTTGTAGTACATTTAGAAGAGACTTACGAACACCGAATCAATCGAGAACTCACTCTTTTATCGATCCCCACTTGACCAATCGATTTTCAACGGCTTAAAGATTTTCTATTTAAATATTAATCATTAAACATTTATTTCAAAGAATAATTATCGACTGAGAATTTTCCAAGTGTCCTTCCCACCCCCAGATCACCCGGAAATCGATTTCAATGATATTTTTTTCCTTATATTCTTCGAAATTCCTTCCACCCTGAAGATGAAATTAAAATCAGACTTGCCGCAAAACTAAAAATAATAACATAATATAAATAAAAATAAAAAACGTATAGTAAAATTGATGAGATTTACAGTTCAATTATTTTCAGAGTTCGGGGCTATTTTTATTACATAAAAAATCATACGAATTTGCCGAAATTTTGCCGAAAAATATAAATTATTGATATGGAATATTGACAAGACATTAATCCATTAAATTATACCTCTTCACACAAGAATAGACTCTCCCAATGGCAACTAGAAAATCGCCTCACGATTGCACTCGAAGCCACCCCTATCATCACGATATAACCCTCCCCCATGCTCACCCCCTCCGAATAAAAACAATCACAACAACAAAATCAAGAAGCCCCTCTCATTTCCCTGACGAAAAAAAAAAGAATCTCAGAATCCAAAGCATTCTTAAAGTCACCCACCCCAATCAATCCATTTATTCTAATGAAAAAAAATAAAACTCCGCGATGAGGAGAGCAATGGAACAGAACCGTATAGGGTAGCTATTTTTTTTTTCCTTTTTTTTTGTGTATACCAAACCCAGTAGGTGGTGATGTGGGAGTTGGATATGGCGAGAAGTTGTTCCTAGATGGATGGAAGATCGGGTGTAGCACGGTTGCCAGGGCGACCGTCATTGATTCCTCCCCCTTTCCCTCCCGCCCTCCATTTTCAACCAGTCACCCACTCCACCTTCCCTCCCTTTGCCTATCTCCTACCCAAACCAATTTCCATCCTTCTCCCAACCCCCCTATTTACTCAATCTCTCTTTTTCCCTCTTTTTCTCTCCTCTCGACACTCTTTGTTCTTTTCTTTCCTCACTTTGTCCATTTTTCGTATTTTTTACCCCTCTTTCCCCTATTCTCTCTTTTTTCCCTCCTCTTCTTATTTTATCGTTTTTTTTTTCTTTCAATTTTTACTTTTTCTTTTCTCACTACCACTGACTCTCTGTTTATGTCTGTCTCTCAGTTTTTCGCCGCGCGCATATAGGTATAGGATTTATATATTTGACCAATGAGAGAGGCGGAGGTCCGAGTGGAGTGGGGGATGAGATGGGTGGAGGGGGAGTCGAGTGAATTAGTGCCAGAAGGGTGGCAAGAGGAGCAAAAGACAGAATTTCAGTCTCACTATGAGAATCGTTGCCAGGGCAACTGGTAAATGTATATATCGTATAGGGATGTATTTATGGGCGCAATGACAGAACAAACTTCACTGATGCTTGACTTCGTGAAGTTGTGTGGGTGTTTGGGGTTGACGTCAGTAATGTTGTTTAATTCGGTATCATTGATATTTTTTTTTGGATTGCAAATTTGTTTTGTGGGCATACGGATATCTCAGAGAAATCAATTTTCACCAATCGATGATCATTTGATTTTTTTCCCAATTATATAGAGTGAAGTGGAGCAACAAATGATTTTTTGTGTCAACTGAATTTTTCCCAGAAAAGGGGTATTAAGGGGTTCTATTAATTTTAATGATTATTCCTCTCTCCATTCTCGGAGATATTTATTTCCTCCGCATGAACATTTTGCGGAAACACTTGCCATACCATACGTATTTTTTTTTTATATTTGACACTCAAATGGATTTGACTTGAAAAAAATTTTGACAGAATTTCTGGGGGATTTCTCAACTTAATTGAAAAAAATTTTTGAGTTTTTATACACTTTTAAGGTTTAAGTAGGTCAGGAATTTATCTACGCGCGGGGGAATGAACAATGGAAGTGCTTAGGAAACTATGGAGAGAGCTGTACTGCACTCCGGAGCTGGAATTTAGTAGAATGAAGTTTTGGGAAATTTAAATCCAATTTTTCAGTAACTGCGATAACAATATCGATATTTCACTTCCTTTACTGTTACTTTTCTTCTCTAACGACGAAATGGAGAAAAATCCTATAAATTACTCGATGTTCTGGAGAAGAATAAAGATTGCTGAATTTCCAATAGGAAGAATTCCAATTAGAATTCACTTAACATTGGAAAATCCTCATGAATTATACTTTACAAACATCCCAGTAGTGAACTGATCAGAGAAGTTTTTCCGTACCGCTTTTCCTGGTTTTCTGGGAATCGGTGGTGGATGCCTCACACGCGAAAACTTGAAAATCGCCATCGAAAAATATTTTCCAGACTGTTGCCCTAGGATTTTTCCACTCCTGTGATTATCTTCAGATCAAAGAGGGAATTCTGCACAAGTGAAAATTCTCGTCGGAAGAA